CCCATGCAAAGGTCCTGAGACAGGATACTTTACTGTGTTTGAGGACCTGCAGGGTCAGTGTGGCTGGAGAGAGAAAGAAGAGGGAAGAGTGGGACTAGGAGGGACTAAAGAAGTAGGAAAAACCATAAACTTCTTTACATACTGGACGTCGTTACCTGTATGGCCCACAAAAAGAGCAGGAAGGTGTGCTGTTCAAACACTGCCAAACAGATCCAGAAAGAAAACCCCTCACTCTTCTAAGAAAAGTGCTCAATATACCAACCATAGACACCTGTGTGTATGTAACCCCAGCAGAGGCCCCTAATGTTTTAATTTACACTAACAACAGACTGGTGCTTGGCTGATTTACAGCTGAATACAAGGATAACACACCAAAATTTCTTGAAAAACCCTAAATGTGGCCTTTAGGACAAACACCGGTGCAAAGTCTCTTGCTTTCCAAAGCCCCTCATGTTAAGGTTTCCTCTGGTCAACGAGGGGATTAGAAGGTTTCATCTGAAGGCCAAAATGTTAAATCTGTCTCTCCTCTCCATCTATCTCCCAGATGCAACAACTCCATCATACCTGCAGCCACTCTAGGGCAGGGACAGCAAAGCTACAGCCTGCATGAGGGCTGCAGGGGGCTGTTTGTATCACTGAAAGCTCTGAAAGGTCCACCACCACTGCTCTGGGGCTAAGTTCCCTGCTTTACTTGTCCGCCTGTTGGCTGACTCTTTGACTCTTACTTGGGAGCTCACTTCTTTTAACCCCACCCCAGGACTCTCTCCTCTATGCTACAAAGTTACAGAAAGAAGGGCCTTATTACACAGAAGGACCTGAAGTTCCAAGACCTATAAAACTTACTTTCAAGGGACCATCTAGCGAGGAACAGTGTAAGACTCCACATTCCATGACTGTGCCTCCTGACACCTGGCTCAGCAACAACTCACAGGTCTGCCTTCAGAGATCTTAAGTCTTCTCCCTCTCCAGCCTAGCCTCTGAGTGCATCACTCCCCAACCTGATGCTTGTCCTCTTGAAACACCAACTAGAAAGAAACCCATGTTCTTTGGACACTCCCATGAACCGGGTTGTGTTCAATAGATTTGCTGGGTGATGAATAAAGATGAAAGAAGGTGAAGTACAGCACACAGGTGTGTGTTCCGGTGTGAGCTCCTTAAATTTCTCCAGGAATCAGCTTCTGATTCTAGGAAGAAAGAAGACCGAGTTGGATGAAATCTCTTAGCTTTGAAGCACCACCGTCCATGACTTACCTGGCCTTCATCTCTCCTTCCACTTTCTGTAGAGTCTTCTAGCCCCAACCAATCAAAACATGTCTGACAGACACATAAATCTTGATGCCTTTGAACACAGTCATTCCTAATCCTCATGTTGCAACATCCCAGAAGTTTCATTTAACTCAGAGTATTGCAACATTTTATATTAGTAACAACCTTCACTTTAGGGTTCAGGGTAAGGAAAAGAAACATGACAGAAGTCAACCAATGTTATGTGCGACTGGAGGGCTGACTGCCCAGTACATATACATGCTGTAGACTAAAACCAACCAGTGCCTAAACCGAAGGGAGATCCCTATTCTGCAAACCACAGGCCAGATAAAGGTCTGAACTCTACTAGGCACCAGAACCCAGAGATTTCCAAGTACTGAACTATCAGATCAGCATGACACAGCGGTGGTTTTAGAAGCAACTATGGAAAAAAAAGAAGAAGAAGAAGCAACTGTGGCTTGGGTCCCACTCAGTTGAGTACCAAAAATACAGATAAATTGAATCTCATTGTGGAAGGGGGATGCAAAACCAGACCACAGTAAGTAGGAAAGAATCCTGACAGAATGACAAGATAAGATCACTCTATTGTTCAGAGAAAAAACTGTAGTGCCCTTGAGACCAGAGAATCCCTAAATCTGGTTCTACAACTTTCTTACAGTATTCCAATTTTATCTGGAGATTACAAATAGTTCTACAGTTGATAAAACCATTTAATTTTGTTTAAAACACACACACACACACACCCACTCCCATGTACATTGGGAGCAGAGCCATCACATAAATCAAGGAATAGCTGGCTCTGTTTCCTGAGTTGTGGGGATTTCTGAGCTATCCTAGGGCTGGGGATTTAGCTCAGTGGTTCCACTGCCTGCCTTGAAAGTGCACGGACCCGAGTTCAATCCCCAGTACCAAAAACAAAGTGGTCTGAGGCTTTCTTGATGGCCTTTAAATATTTTCTCGTCAAATTATCACTAAAAATCAACAAGGGTCACATTCAATGCCTCCTATTTGCTCAGGAGTTTCAGACACACCTGAGAGTTGTTGACACCAGGACTCCAAAGATTAGATGAGAAACAGTGAAGTACAGACTTCTACGTTAACCCCAACACTAGGCAGCATGATGCTGCTTGCGGTGGGGGGAGTTGAGGAAGGCTCCACACCTCCACTAGGCCCCCTGAGCCACACTTGATGAAAGCACAGCCATTGTCCAGGCAACTCGCCAGGTCCTGTCTCTCTTTGTTCTGTTCTCCTTTCCTTTTATTTGGAATTTTCTCACTTTCTACATAATTTACGTACAGCATTCATTGTGCCACTGTTTCCTGCCTATCTCTCCCATGTACACAGATGTAAGTTCCATTTGGAGAAGGCAGTCACTGTTTAGTTCATTAATGTATACCAGTGCTTGGCATACAGTACAACATGTATGTTTAAAAAAACTGGTGAGTGAAAAAATAGACAAACAGATGAAATAAAGAGACAGATTTCACTATATCCAGGAGCTAGGAAGCCAGAGGCTCAAAGCAGAAGAGGCCTCCTGTCTTCCACCTTCCCAGGTGAGATGTGACACTGGACTGGAAAGCACATGGCTAAGGAACTGACTACTTTAACTTATGGTGTTCCTAACTTATGCCGACATTTGGAAATTGGCCTGCTGAGCAGCAGATTTTCCTAGTTCCACTGATTTGCTTTACAAATAAAGAAATGGTGTAGGGGATAACTCATCTTTCCAGCCTCACAGCTAGCTGGTACCAAACCCTCCTCTTCAACTCGCCAGTCACAGGAAGAATACACTCCCAAATATAGGTCAAAACGTGTATGGAAGCAAGAGACTGCGCCTATACATTACATTTTCAGGCTGCTAAGATGATCAAGTACGCCATCTCTAGGAATGCAAAACTAGAGCAGCTGCCAGTAAGGGTTTCCTTTCAGCAAGAAGGTCAACTAGAAACAGCCATGATGCTGGAGTCCCTCGGTGGAGTAACCCAGCCCCATCCCGAGTACGTCTTCAAAGAACAATCTCCAACTCTAAATATTTGTCAGTCTGGTTCCACCAGAGCTTTAGATTTGGTCCTGCCCATCCAACATGGTACAGAGGAGTGAATCTCCTTTTTTGGGGGAGGGTTTTTTGAGACAGGGTCTCACTATGTAGTTGAGACTGACCTGGAACTCACTATGTAGCCCAGGCTGGTCTCGAATTCACAGCGATCCTCCTACCTCAGCCTCCTGAGTGCTGTGATTACAGGTGTGCGCCACCACGCCCAGCTATAAAAGCAATTTCAATAGTTTCTGCTCAAAGAAAAAATATCCATGGGTCTTGAAATATCTACTCTTTAAAGCTGAACAATATAATAGAAAAATAAAAACAATATTGGGTTCTGTATTATTTCTAATTCTCCCACTAAATAATAGACTCTAGAAGTCCTAACCTCTCTATAAAATGAGTCCCCGGCTGTCTCTGGTCTGATTCAATGCTCTGTGACATTACTGGCCACATGTAAATTCACTTGGTGTGTCCAGGATTAAAGTATGTGAATGACATGAAGGCCTCAACCTGGCTGCACATTAGACTCACCTGCAGCTTAAAACTTTTTTTGGGGGGGTTGGTTTTTTGAGACAGGGTCTCAGTGTGTAGTTGAGAATGTCCTGGAACTCACTATGAAGCCCAGGCTGGTCTCGAACTCACAGTGATCCTCCTGCCTCAGCCTCCCGAGTGCTGGGATTACAGGCATGTGCCACCCACTCCCGGCTAAAACTTTTTTTTTTAAATGGTGCTAGACTTCACTCCCAGTGATTCTATCTCCTTCACCCAGCATGATGCCTGGGCATGGAGTTTTTAAAAGCTCCCCAAGTGACTACAGGTGACTAATTTAAGTCAGGGCTGGAAGCATTGCCTCAGTACACTTCCTTGCTACAGCTGTGCCCACACACAGATGTTTCTCTCACTCCTACCCCTCCCCCAGCATGGTTCGTCTGCTTTAAGAGAAAAGAGATCCAATTTACCTTAGTGGACAGACACCTCTGACTCAACCCGAGACCAATGGCAATGTCAGGCTCTAGGGATTTGACAGCACTATTTGTTCAGAGAATGTATGAAAAAATTCAGTTTACATGACAAACACTCCTGCAGCCTAGACAAACAATTATTCCTTCATCTGAAATGGGGAGGGGGTGTGATCCACTGAAGAATGAGATGGTTTTGAATTATAATAAACTAGAAATCATGTTTAATACATAAGCGGACAACACTGGATGAAAGTTCATTTTTTTAAACAGTGAAACATCATGCTGAGTGAAAAATAAAAGACATGGAATAATCACAAGCCATTTATCTCAGGGGGTTTGGCAATAGAAAAATTAACCTCATAACTGATACGAGGAGCCATCAAGATGACACCACATATTTGGACCCTGACTACCCAAGCAAGTATCCTGGAAGCCCCTCTAATTCTATGAAAACATATTACCAGTGCGATCTCAAAAATGAATATGCAATACAGGGCCGGGGAGGTAGCTCAGT